CGCCTGCCCCCCTCCTGCCGCGGGCCCCAGGCCCTCGGAGACTTGGGGGGCTGGCCTTTAGGAGAATGTGGCTGTCTCCAGGATGGTGGGGGCTTGGAGGGGCCCGGGGCCACTCACACAAGGAAACTGGGGATGTCTAGAGAGGCCAAGAGGAAACTGGAGGAAGAATTAGAGACAGGGGCAGGGGCTTGGAGGGCATTTAGAGGGCCTGGGAGGGACCAGACAGATGTCTTGAGGGACTGAGAAGGGGCTAGGGGACATAGAAAGGAGCAGAGAAGGGGCGTCTGGAGGGACAGAGAAGGATCTGAGGGAGCGTTTAGAGACTGAGATGATTCTAGAGGGGTCAGCGTGTGCCTGAGATATCTGAGGGTATCTAGTGGGGGGCAAGAAACACGGGAGCTGTCTACACTCAGTTCTGATGGAAGAAGGGGCTAGACCTCTTTAGCTGCGTTGGAGAGGGGATTGGGGCATTCTGGGGGGTAGAAATAGGACCAGAAGTGTTTGAAGAGGCTGAGATCAGGGTCTGGAGGGGAGTTCTAGGCTAGGGGGTGGTGGTGAGAAAGGTGAGGAGGGTGGTCCACACCCTGAAGACTTCTGGGAAAAGAGAAGGGGGTTGAAATCCCTTCTTGGATCTAGGAAAGGGGTTGGTGCACCTGAGGGATGTCTATAGAGCCAGGAGGTTGTAAAGAGGCTGAGAGGTGTCTTGGGAGTGCCTAGAGCTGCCAAGAATAGCCTGAGGGGGGTGTCTACATTCTACAGGAGTTTGGGGAAGGAAGGAGAGGTGGGGCTCCTAGTGGGGCTGGAGAAGGGAGTGGGGTGTCTCACGGGGTAGAGAAAGGGCAAGGTTATTTTTCAGAGGCTGAGGGGTGTCTGGGGGAGAGGGGTATCTTGGGGGACTGAGAAAGCCTGCTCCACTCTCAGGAGTTCCAGGGACAGGAAAGGGGCCCGGGGAACCCCAAGGGGCTGGGCTCAATTGGAAGGAAGTTGGACACAGACCCAGAGGATTGAAAAAGACCAAGAAGAAAGGGGGGTTCTCCCCAAAATGGGTTGGAAATTGGAGTGGGATGTTGAAAGGGAGTTGGGTGTGTCTCCAGGAAGGGGGGCTGCTGGGCCTTGCAGGAGGCTGATGAGGGAAGCCAAGATAAGGCTGCGTCCCACTATTGGGGGCTGGTCTGGGGAAACCACACCCCGAGGGGCTGGTGGTGTGCGTTGGGCAGCAGCAGTAGCAGCAGCGGCTGCAGGAGGAGGAGAAGCAGCCACAGCCAGGCCTGGGAGAGAAGGCAGCACAGACAGGGGAGGGGGCTGGGTCCCTGGAAGGAGGCTCTGCAAGGACGAGGTCCAGCAGGACCCAGGGGGACTGTCCCAGGATGGGCTAGGGCGTGGGAGCTGGACCAGGGAAGGGCAAGGACAGCGCTGTTAGTGGCCCCCTCCCACTACCCACAGGGCCGACCTCACCTGTGTCCCCACTGCAGCAAACGGCAACAGCGGAGGGGCTGGGGGTACCAAACACCGGAGCTCCTGCCCCCCTCTGCAGAGCTGCCCGAGTTCTCCTCCTCCTCTGGCTCTCTCTCCCCGCCCCTCTGAGCTTGCCGGGAGATGGCGAGGCAGGGAGGGGCCTCGTGGCTCCCAGAGCCCCCTCCCCTAGGACCGCCTGAGAGGGACCCTGGGGAGACTCCGCCTCCTATAAAGCTGGTTGGGCCTCAGTCGCGTCATCTGGAAAATGGGGGTGGTAGGGAGCTTTGCCAGTTCTCCCCACCTCCTTCCTGGACTCCCCCTCTCCCTGCCCAGCTCCTACCCCCCTGCCCCTAGGGGACCCCACCCCCACCCGTCTGAATCAGCAGCACTTAGCAGATGCGATCGATGGGGAGGCGTCTGTTAATGGCCTTAGAGCGGAGTGCCACGGGGAATGATGCAGCGCTGTGTCCCCTCCCTGCCCCCCAAGGCTGGAGAAGGTGTGGATGGAGGACTGGTGGGGGGCATTTCTCTAGATCGCCAGACCCCCAAAGCTGCTGGGGTGGGGGGGCATGGGTTAACCAAGACTGCTGGGACCGGAGCACCATCCTCCTGGTTTTGAATGTCACATGGTGGGGGAGGGGGGAAGGGAAGAGTGCAGATGGGGACAAGTGTGAAGTCCCACCCCATACCAGCTTCTTTCCCAGGCAGGCCCACTTTGAGGGGCAGTATCCATCTGTCCACATCCAGGAGCCTCAGATCACGCCTCCTCCCTTAGAGGGCTCTGCTGCTGTGGCAAGAGCACTAGGTACCAAGTGCCTCTGGCAGGATGGGTTCAAACCCCAGCTTTGCTGACTTGCTGTGTCCTTGAGCAAGTGACTTGCATTGTTTTCTCAGCTGTCAGGTGGAGTTACCCCAACTCGACAGTGTTGTTGGGACCATTAATGGAGTGATGCGAAAGGGGATGCACAGGGCATGGCACACAGAGGCCTCCTTTTTAGTAATTCAAGGTGTGTGGTGCTGGGGAGCAGTAATGCAGGGCCAATTTTAGCCTTTCAATTTACCTCCACTTCCTAGCTCATCACACTCCTGATCTGTCCATTTCTCCATCCCTCCACCCACCCACCCATTTGTATATTTACTCCAACTACCTAATGATTCACCGAACTACCCATATGTAATCCCCCGCTCCCCCCATTATTTATTCATCTACTTTCTCTTCCCATTCATTAGCTCATTCATTGATCTGCCCACTCGTCCATGCAGATATTCCCCTAGCCATCCATCTGTCCACTTACAATCCCCACCTGCCCATCCTCTACCTATTCACCTACCAATCCATTTATTCATCCAATCACCTATTTATCCATCTGTCCATTTACTGCCCAGTCTATCCATCATCCAACCTTCTACTTATTTACCCATCAGTTCATCTACTTACCCATCCTCCCATCTGTTTACTAATCCAGACCTACATGCCATACACATCTATTCACATATATATCTGCAGATATTTCTGTTCCATTCAGTTTGAGGGGCTAGTCCACAGTAACTGGAGACAGGCTGGGTGAGGGTGGGGGAAGGAGAGTAAAGTTGTGGCCAGAGACTTCCCCCCCATTCTAGTGGTGTGACCTCACCCCCCGCCCCCCAGTACATCCCTCCTACTGGTTGGAAAGAATGAGAGCAGACAGTCAGTGCATGGGCCCGTCTGGCCAGATGGTATTTTGGCTGCACAACCTTTACACACACACACGCACACGCACACGCACACACGCACGCGCGCGTGCACACACACACGTTTCTAGAATGTTGAACATGGACCACACCCCACCCAACATCCCCAATCCCAAATGCAGAGTAGCCAGGCTTCCAGACATAAATTAAAAATAAAATAAAATAAAAAATAGTTGGTCTCTGGGAGGGAGAACTCATGCAGAGATGAAGGCAAATGCCCCTGGGAACCCCTGCCACTCCCCTCAGGGTCCTCACTCCCCAGGGACCACTGTCCTAAGACAGGGTCACTACCAACCAGCCATCAGGCCTCCAGCCCCTTTAATGTCCAGTGTCCCAACCTATTTGATTTTGGTGCCAGCCCCCATTTCCCCACTTTAGCCCAAATGAATAGTGTTCAGGGGGAGGGGAGAGAAAGGGTGGGAGTGGAGGCAGCCTGCAGGTCTTTAGCTGGATTCTCCTGGTTGTAGGTCTGGCTCAGGAGACCCCACGCACTCCTTGCTGAGCCGCACAATTTCCTGGGACAGAACTTCCATGTCCTAAGAAACAAACAAGCCATCAGGGGCCAGAGAAGGTGGCAGGGGAAGCCTGGGGTGTCTTCCTTCTTACCTCATTAAGCAATGCCTGGGACAAAAAGGTGTTTGGAGAAGTTCACAGGGCCCCCAGCAGTGGGCTGGACTCAGGAAAGGTGGATGTGTGAGGGTGTGGAAGCTCTGGAGCTGGGGTATGGATATGGGATTGCCTGCTGTGCTTGATATGCTGGAGGATATAACCCCCACCCTGGCCACCTTCTTTCTAGTAAATGATGAGCTTGCTTCTCAGAAGCAGGTGCCAGGTCTGCATTCCTTTTGACTTGCCCAGAGATGGAGTAAATATTTGGGTGGTAGGATGGGCAAGTGGACGTGTAGGTAGACACATGGGGGATCCACGGCAATCAAACAGGACAAATGAACTATCCAAAGGACAGATGGAGGACAACAGGTAGGCAGGCAGGTTGCTGGGTGTGTGGGTAAAAGTTAAGATAAGGGGTGACTGATGAGCAGGCAAGAAAGAGAGCAGGAAGTCAGGAAATGGGTGGAAAGACATGGGGCTGATGATTAGATGAATGGGAAGCAGATGAACTAATAGCAGGGGGATCGATGGGAGAGTTAAGTTGACTGTGTGGTATGAATGGATGAGTGAATGGATGCAAGGACAGAGGGAAGAGTGAACAAATAAACTGACAATAACAAGTTGAATGGAGAATGCGAAGATGAGGATGAAGGAATGGTTGGTGGATGGGGCGGGGGGCTGGCAGATGACCTAAGGGAGTTGGATGGCTGCATGGACAGATGGGCAGGCTGTAGGCCACACTCGCCTTATGCAGATGCATATTCTTGGTGAGCTGCTCCTCCAACATGTTCTGTAGCTTCTTGTTCATCTCCCGAAGGTTCTCGTCACCTGGCTTCACTAGGTCTCTCAGGACACTGCCCAGCCCGCTGCGGTCTGTGTGGCCTGCTGCCACGGACACATCTGCAAGGGCCCAGGCTGAGAGCCACCCCCTCAGCAGAGCCAGAGGAGAAATGGCCAGAGCAGAAAAGAGGGAAACAGAGAACGGGGGGCGGGGGGAGGAAGGGGGGACAAGCCATACCATATAGGGGGCAGAGGCTCAGCCACATGAACCCCGGCTGTCACTAACTGCACAGCTCTGAGAAATGGGCATACTAAGTAAGTCATGGAGCTGG